TAGCATGCACATATCTCTCCCATACAAGACATGCATACTCAGCAGAGGAGAAGCTGAGAGCCAGAGCAATGGATCAGATGGTTGAGGGATAGTTCTCCATTTTGAGTTGGAGAGCTGATACAGAATACTGTTTCAAGTGCTCCCCTTTGCTTTTGTCTTCACTGTGGCAGGCCAGTAGGGGGGGCTCCTGCGTTGAGCCGCCCACCTCCCTGCGCCCGACCACCTTCCAGGCTCCGAGTGCCTCCCTTGGGGTGCCTCACGTCCGGCCGACCCCTTCCCTGGAGCACACCCGCTAGCCTGGGGTTCCCGCTACCACCAGCCAAGGCTCTGGACTCACTTCTGGCTCTGCGCACCTTGGAGATCACAGGCCTGATCGTCCAATGGGTACTAGACCCAATATAAGCACTTGGGGCACTTTCCAAGTCAGGGGCTGATTAGGGAAGCCTCCCTTAGTCCACAGACCTAAGGGGCCTCCTTGGCATAATTTAGACCCACTCCTCAATAAGTCTCCCACACTGGTCACAAGGAGAACTTTATTGATTACAGAGGTAGGGTGGAAACAGGGTAAAAGGTAGAGCAATATCAGAGGAATATCAGAGGAATCCCATAGAGCAAACCAGCATGGCTGAGGTAGCCGTTTAAACACGCATCTGATTTACTGTAAGCTAGATATCTAATCAGATCTCGAGTAGCTTACTCATACGCATCATCCAGAGGTGGTTGGAGTTTCCTCTGGAGGCAGGGCACTCTTGGAGCTTGCGGCGATGAGGATAGAGCCAGGTTCAGATTCACCTGGATGACCGCATGGCTAATCGCTGCCTTCTTCCTGGCCCGGGCCCTTAAATAACCTCTCTGACCTCAGCAACCCGGTCCAATTGAAGCTGCCAATAGTGGCCACAAGCCAACCAATCTCCCAAGCATCCCTGGCTACCTGGGCCATGCGCAGGGCCGCGCCTTTCCCCCCTGCCCAGGTGACCAGAGCATCGCCTCCCAGGCCCCAGGCTTTTGTCATGCAGACAAGGTGGGAGATCCCCGCCCGGAGGGATTCATCACCAGCCTCTCAGGCTGGTGGAGACAGATCTCTGGAGAGGGGCACCGAGGGTGGCATTTCTGCCACATTCACGATGTGTTCTTTGCATAAGATAGTTCAATCGAGAGTGACTCCAAGACTAAACTGTATGTGAACACTGGGATAGTGGGGTCCCGGACCATGTAATGTTGAGCTGCAAATTGGCCTCAGATGAAAGGCGCATGCTTGTGTTTTCTCTGGGTTGGTGCGTAATTGGTTATCAATGTTGTATGAGGTTAGGTCAATTCCTGCCTTTTTAGGGTTTTTTCATCATGATCAAAGGCACTGTTTTGGACTATTATTCACAGGTCATCTGCATAGATGAAACATTTTGCTGACTCTTCCTGATTTAGAACCTTTTTTTGACTGAGCTTCAGCCAAGTCCAAAGTCACATGGCTTAACCACAATTATAGACTTAACACAGGGTTTCTCATATTGGGCTATGCATTGGAGCTACACCAACCCTGTTCCATTTCATTGTATTATGTCAGTGCACCTCTTCACTGTTTATGGCTCATGCTCAGAGGACATGCTACCTAGGCCCAACTCACGACACAGCCTACATAATCTGTGGCCCAAGCTGCACATGGCCTATGGTCCACGTATGGCCTACAGAGATGCTCATTAGACATCTCATCTTTGGAGAAAACTTGACATGAACATGATGGAGAGAACTGTTTCTCCAATATCGTGGTTACAGATTCACTGGACTACAGGCAGCTACATCATGGTATGAACCAAAATGCTCAGAAGGCTTTCACTGTTTCAGTCTTTTAATGTGGTCATCAAACTGCATATGGGATTACAAGAAGTGATTTGTTTAGCTTCCATATGGCCTTGCCTTTGCCCTGTGGGCAGGTCCCACCGAAAGCAAGCACGCTTCTCAATGTGGTGTCATTAAGAGCAGAATATAATCAAAGCTGGTGTGAGCAGGTATCAGTCATTGTCCCCCGACATCCCCTTGAAGCACTGAGATGGAAGCAGAGGAGGCACGTGCCTCATGGCTCTCTCAGAAAGACTTGTTTCAGGAGGAAAAAGGAAGGGTCTGAACACTTAGAAAGCAGCAAACAGCTGGAGAGCAGCAGCATTGACCAGGACAATGGATCCTCCAAACAGCGAGGGGCTCATCTGGAGCTGGAAGGCAATTCCTTGTCTCTCAGCTGTGAACCAAAGAGAAGTGTGTCAGGTTGTGGTTGGACAGTGACAGGGAAGGGAGTCTAGTCATGGGAACAGGAGATGGGAGATAGGCAGCTGGTCTAGGGCATGGGGCCATGCATTTACGGTGACATCAAGGCAGAACTGGGCATCTGAGTCTTTAGTGCTTGTGGGGATAATTCCCCTCCGGACTTCTTCACTGAAACTAATTGCAAGTAGAGGTTCTGCAGACACAGAAGCATTCAGACGCTACAGGGATGAGGGACACAAGAATCCCTGGATCCTGCCACAGGACTACACTGAACCCCACTTGTTTTGCTGCGCGTGGCAGGTCTGCCTGGTCAGGGTGGTCTCAGCCTTGTGGAAAAGAGAAAGCCATTTTTGTATCAAGAAAAACAAACCCATTCCTACCAGCGTTGTATTCACAGCCCGTTTTCTTCTCATCTGAAAAGGAAGCAGAGGGTAGCAGTCGGTTCAGCCAGGGTTGGCAACATCAGTCTGGTGGCTCATCCAGTACTGCGTCCAGCTCTGGGCGCCGCACTTCAGGAGGGATGTGGACAGCATGGAGAGGGTCCAGAGGAGGACCACTCACATGATCGGGGGCAGCAGGGCAGGCCCTATGAGGAGAGGCGACGGGACCTGAACCTCTTCAGCCTCCACAAGAGAAGGCTGAGGGGGGATCTAATGGCCATTTACAAACTAGTCAGAGGGGACCAGCAGGCATTGGGGGAGTCCCTGTTCCCCCGAGCACTACCAGGAGTGACTAGTAATAACGGTCACAAGCTGGCAGAGGGTAGATTCAGACTAGACATCAGGAGGCGCTACTTCACAGTCGGGGCGGCTAGGATGTGGAACCAACTTCCAAGTGAAGTGGTGCTGGCTCCTACCCTGGGGGTCTTTAAAAGGAGGCTAGATGAACACCTCGCTGGGGTCATTTGACCCCAGTACTTTTCCCTGCAATGGCAGGGGGTTGGACTTGATGATCTGCTCTGGTCCCTTCCGACCCGACCAACTATGAAACTATGACTCCATTGAGGGTTGAATCTAGTACAGCCCTCAACAGGCCAAGGAGATTCCCACTGGTGATTTTGTGTCTTGCACTAGTAATACTGGTCACAAGCTGGCAGAGGGTAGATTCAGACTAGACATCAGGAGGTGCTACTTCACTTGCACCCATCACTTCATGCTGGGGGGTGAGTGCCTCTTCCCCTCTGAGTCTTTATGGACCAAAGGCTCTGCACGCTCCCTAGACTGAGGCCCCCTCCAGCAGCAAGAGTGTCATTATGTCTCTACCCATCCTAGTGACAGGCCCCATATCATAGTCACCTTCAACACCCACACACACAGTACTCACTTCCCAGATAGGCTCAGTTAAAATGGCTGCAGGCCTGGTTGGTGCTTTGGAGGACAAAGCTATTGCCCTTAGCATTTTCTGGGGCCATTTATGGACCATCCCCACTACAATATCACTCTTGCACACCCATCATTAGTAAAGGCTCACTGCTGAGGTACCCCCTTCAGTAGCACACAATACGGACAGGCTTGGTGATACCCCTGGACACAGCTAGCCATGAAACCAATTGTCACTGCCTTGTCACTAGGTCTTGGTTGAGCATCAGAGGGTCCTTCTGCCAGGGTGATAGCTCATGTCAGGAAGGGCACCCAGCTGTAAAAAAAAACTACTACTGCTTCACAAAAGTATCTTGGATCCTGTGAATAAAATAAAGCTAGAACTTTCCTCATGACAAGGCAGAACTGTGAAAAATTGGCAATGGGTAACACAAAGTGGACAGTTGTGGGTAAAGAAAGGAAGAGGTCTAGGTTATGGCCAATGCAGAAATGTGGTGGAGCATACAGAGAATAAGCATACGATCATGTCCTGTGAATAAAATAAAGCTAGAACTTTCCTCATGACAAGGCAGAACTGTGAAAAATTGGCAATGGGTAACACAAAGTGGACAGTTGTGGGTAAAGAAAGGAAGAGGTCTAGGTTATGGCCAATGCAGAGAGACTTATGCTAAACTGAGTCACCTGAAATGTCAAGAGATCTCACAGAAGGAGTACAAGAATTGACAACTGCTCCAAAAGATGAAAAGTATCACCACCTTGGTGCCTGAGCTGGGCCAGGGATGACCCTCTAGCCAGGGACCTTGCCTATGGGGATGCTTGAGGAAGGACAAGGGCTGGGCAGCCACTTTGATCAGCAGCACATGGAGCAGGATGCAGGTGAGTCTGGGTGGCAATTGTGGACAGCATTATGGAAATGGCTACAGAAGCCATCAAACATGTCCACAGCCCTTCTGTAGTGGGGTGGGGGGCAAAACTGGATACAGGACTCCAGATGTGGCATCACAGAGCTGGGTGGTCTGGTCCCAGAGAAGCCCTGCAGGCCAAATGACATATGTCCTTGAGCCACATCCGGTTGATAGGCCGTATGCCTGACATCCCGATGTAGGAGATGGGCCTGACTGGCAGCCACCTGTTAGAACAAGCAAGACTGAGGGGAGATGACAAGATCAGGGACGTTGTGACAACTTCAAGCATCTGACCACAGGATGTAGTGGATTGCAACCAGTGGAAAGTGATGGTCTGAGCCACTGATCCCACCCAAGCTGGGAACCACAGCCAGGAAGGAGGAGAGTAGAGAGTTTCTTCCCCATTAGATATAGCTTTACATCCTCCAGCCTGCAGAACTGTAGCCCTTTTAAACAATTCATCTGTTCTGTCAGACATAACTGTGGACACACTCACTACGTGTATAAAATAATCACTGCCTTGTGGATAACACTAAGATTTTGATCTCAGCACAATCTTGTATCTGTAACTACAACCAGTGAATCCTGCATTTTGTAACAGGGCAGTCCTTTCTCTACTTCACACAATGTTAACTTTGCTTTCCTGGGTTCTCTCCTGACAAACTGAAAACAGTGTAGTTTCCCTTCTCTACCCTATTTATAATTCTTCTTGTCCCTCTTGTTTGACCTTCCTATTATCAAAACAGCCTGAATTGACCATCTCTCTTCATGCTGAAATCTCTCTACAAGCCAAATCCCTAAATTCCTTTAATTCTTGTGACTTCCCAAGATTTGAGGGGGTCAGAGTTGTACACAAAAATCGCAGATGTGAATATTTTCACCACGTCTGTGATGCAGATATTACTATCCATCTCATCCTTTTTGTTTCTCTGGTTAGGATCAGACATTGCATTTGTCCTGGACCAGGTGTGCTTGTGTTTGTCCTGGGACAGACCTGGCATGGAAATACATGGCCCTGCCAATCAGGGTTTAGTGAGCAACTAAATGCAGTGCCACTCTGTTGTCACTGACCATCTTGTTCAGCTGCCCGGGGTGCTATCCCAGGACAAACTGTTAGCCCTTCTTATATCATAAGCCTATTGGGTTTGTTCCCAGATGACGGACATGGACATCTGAATACTGTCATTTTGTCCCAGGAGAAATGCATCATCTCTTTGTAGCCTGTTGCATTTGGTTTTGCTTTTGCACTGAGCTGTCTGCAGTGCTGCACAGGCTATTGCTTCTCAAGCATAAGCTTGTGGCAGATGGAGCAATGAAGATATTGAGCTGCTTCCAAAGGCAGCTGGACACACACGCAAGCCCTTGGAAATGTTCTCACAGCAGCTGAACACCTCTAAAATAGCTCCTCTTTTGAGCAGTCTACTTTTGTTTCCCCAGGCATGATGGAGGCAGATAGCCTGACCACCAATACCACTCCTACCCCATGCTCCTTACCTCCCTACTCTGACTCTCTGCTCTCCTTCCCCTATACCCCCACTGCTGTATGGTGAGTGGGATGAGATGTGGAAGCTGAGAAGTAAGCCACAGGTCACTGCCACTGCCACCTCCTCTAGTGCCCCTCTGGCCTGTGCTAGAGGAAGGTGCAGCTTCCTGAAAATGTCAGGCCAGGAACAGCACAAGCACATGTGTATGTCTCCTGGCTGAAAGGGTTCCTTGGTGAAACATCTCCAGGTACATTACATCTCTGCCCCCATGAGTTCATCAAGGACCAGCGGAGCAGTACAGGTCCCTCAAACTGTTCCTCCAGCGGACATGGCCTTGGGCTTGTCATAAGGAATTTCTTTCTTCACTCAGCCACACCCTGCATTTCCATACAGGCATCTCCTGGGTTGGGTACCTTCAGTCCCTGGGTGCTGTCTGTGATGGCTAGAAGATGGCATTTAGATATTTGCTTTGGGGAACGGGCTTGTAGGTAAAGTAGGTATTGCATTAAAATAATGGTCCAGGGCAATGGCAAGAGTTAACTGATTTCTAAAAAACCTATTTGAGACAAAAGTTTCCTTCAAGGCCCACTGTGTGTGACACAGAGAACCAGCAAGCAGACACACAGGCTGGGAAATTGAAGACATGTACCACGCTGTTCCGTAACAGAGATGAGGGAATCTGTCAAATTGGCCAGGTCACAGGGCCCAACTGCAGAGCCCTTAAGATTTCTGGTGTGGTAGATGGACCAAATTAAGAGACACTGGAAGCATCCGAATTACAATGTGTGCATGTGATGGGTTTGTGAAATAAAGGAATATGCTGGTAGGATAGAACATGGATAACATGAAGACCACAGGGAGGCCAATCAATGGTGCCCAGAGATGAAGAGTCATCAGAGGACAATGAATACAAAAGCAAATACAACATTTCAGAGCAGCAAAGGGTCCCTGAGGTGGAAACCCCAGGCCACCATGAACAGAAGGCACACCACCGACCCATCTCATCCACCCCACTGGGCGACAGTAGGCCTTAACTTTCAACCTAAAAAGAAGCTCAGGGTCAAGCTTGTGTACCGGCCAGGTGTATCTTCTCTCTGTGGCAGCTTTAGGACTAGTAACTATATAACTTTATATTATTCTTCTCTGCTATCACTGTGTATCAATAAAATTAAACTATTATTGAATAAAAAGATCATGGTCAGTCTGAGGCATCTGGGTCTGCCCAAGAACTGACAGAGGCCGTGCACTGATGGGACATGGTCGTCATGGGCAACTTCAGTTACCCAGACATAGATTGGGAGGAACACTTGGCTAAGTTGGATCGGTCACATAGCTTTTTGACCTGTATCAAAGAACTCTATCTGACCCAGGAAGTGCAAGGGCAAACCAGAGGTAATGCTCTCCTAGACTTGGTCTTGTCTTGGCCAAAGATGATGATCTGGTGAGCAACTTGAATATAGAGGATTGCCTGAGTGACAGAAACCATGAGATAATCATGTTCACTGTCTGTCACAAGACAGACAAATCAACTAGCAGGATTGAAGTCCTGGACTTCAAAAAAAGCTAATTTCAGCAGGCTCAGGGCAATAATAGGGGAAGCAACGCAGGACCAGGGACCAAAGGAGAATAGAGTACATGAAAAGAGGTTGTTCCTCAAGGACAAAATCCTCAAGGCACAAAAGAAGATGATTCCCATGCAGAAGAAAGGTAGCAAAATGGCTAGCAAGCCCTCTTGGCTTAACAGAGATATCACGGTCCTCTTGAAAAAGAAGAAAGAGGCATACAGACAATGGAAGCTTGGGACAGTCCTCAGGGAGGACTATTCAACAGTGACCTGCACTTGTAGGGAGAGGATTAGAAAAGCTAAGGCAGTGACTGAATGGGAATCATTCGCAATGGGAATCAAGGACAATAAGAAGGCCTTCTTTAGGTGCGCTGGGAATAGAAGGGAAACAAATGGAAGTGTGGGACTCTTGCTTAACACCTCAGGACACTTGGTAACCAACACTCAGGAAAAAAAACTGAACTCCTGAATGATCACTCTGCTTTGGTATTTCACCAGACCAAGGGGGAAATCATGCGAGATAAGGCTCAGAGGGGGCACGGTGGGAATGACCGCCTTCCTAATGTAGATGCTGAGCTGGTGCATAACCAACTAGAAAAGCTAGACATTTATAAGTCATCAGGACCAGATGAGCTTTACCCAAGAGTGCTGAAGGAGCCAGCCGAGGTCATTGTGGGACCTCTAGTGATACTTTCAAAACTCATGGCACTCAGGGGAGGTCCCTGAGGATTGGAAGAGGGCCAATATTGTGCCCATCTTTAAGAAGGGGAAGAAGGAGGACCCAGGCAAATATAGACCAATTAGCCAAACTTTTATCCCAGGGAAAATCCTAGAAAAACTCAGCAAGGAATCTATGTGTGATATGCTTCCAAAAGGTAGCATGGTTTTGTCATGGACAGGTCTTGTCTCACCAATCTCATCTCCTTTTATGACCAGGTATCTCACCACCTGGGCAAGGGAGAGGAGGTCAACAATATATATCTAGACTTCTGGAATGCCTTTGATCTGGTATCCCATGATAGCCTCACAGGCAAATTGGAGGATTGCAGGCTTAACTGCTCGATAGCTAAGTGGGTAGGAAACTGGGTGTGAGGTGGGAGCCAGAGAGTTCTTATAAATTGATCTGTGTTGTCCTGGCGAGAAGTGGCCAGTGGTGTCCCTCAGGGGTCCGTGGTTGGTCCAGTACTTTTCAACATCTTTATCAATGATTTGGATGTGAGGGTGAAGAGCTCATTGACCAAGATCGTGGAAGACACCAAGTTATGGGGAAGTGTGGCCATGCGTGAAGATAGGCTGTAGATACAGGCGGACATAGTCAGGCTGGAGAGTTGGGTGACTTGGAACCAGATGAAGTTCAACACTCAGAAGTGTAAAGAGTCCATCTGGGGGAAAATAATCCTCAACTTACCTACAGGCTAGGTGGCACCAGTTTGACTTGCTCCATGACCGAAAGGGACCTAGGGGTAATCATCAACCACGGCATGAACATGAGCCATCAGAGCGATGCTGTAGCCAGCAGGGCAAACAATAGTCTGGCATGCATCAACCGACGCATCTCGAGCAAAACCAAAGAAGCGATCCTTCTGCTTTACTCAGCATTGGTGAGACCCCAACTGGAGTACTGTGTCCACTTCCGGGCACCTCACTTCAACAAGGATGTGGAAAAATGTTAGAGAGTCCAGAGAAGAGCCACCCATATGATCAGAGACTTGCAAGGCAGAGCATACGAGGAGAAGTTGAGAGACTTGGGCCTCTTCAGCCTAAAAAAGAGAAGGCTAAAGAGTCCTGAGTCCCTCAGCCGTTTCTCATATGGTTTGCCCCTGCTACCCCTAACCTGATGCCTCCTCTAGCAGCAAGGGTGTCTCTTTTTCTCTACCCCACCAGCTCACAGTACACATATCAGAGCGCCTACCAACACCCGCACACACTCAGTCCAGTACTCACAACCCAAGAAGGTGCAGTTGAAATGGCTGCAGGTCCGGTTGGTGCTCCGGAGAACAAAGCTGTTGTTCCCACTGTCTCCTGGGAACACATTGAATATCTCATTAACAGGGATTAGTGCTTCGTTTTCGTTCAAAATGTAGGAAAAGTACAGGATTGGCACCCCGAAGCAAGTGTGGATGGTGAAGAATGTGTCCTTGCCAAATTCTTCAGCCGTTTTGATTTCAAAAGACGAAGAGGCAAAGTATCCAAACCTGATGGGAGCAGAGCCATTGTGCTGGTATTTAATGTGGTGAACTCCCCTGTACACTGGTATTTCATACATCAGGTTGCAGTCCCTTCTTAGGAGCTGTAAAGCTCTTGTCAGGTAGTAATGAAAGGCTTTGAAGTGGAAATGGGTGTGGTAGGCATCCGAAGAGGCACCAGACTCCTGCACTGCCTTATTCAACTGACTGCGTAGAAAATTGTCAGTGTAGGCTATAATTGCTCTTCCATGCTCTTCCTTAAAGCCTTTGGGGAGATCTGTGTAAAGGTATTCCCTCACTTTTTCCCACTGTATTGATGAATTTTTCCACACATGTTTCAATAGCGAGGACTTTTCCAACTCTTTCTTCGTCAGGGCTGGTGCTTCTGTTTCCATTTCTTTGGCACACCCAATGTACTGGTCATCAAAAGCATCAGGCATCATGCTCATCATGACTGTCTGTAGGGCTGTGGGAATAAAGCCAAGACAGATGGATGATTATGTGTTGCTCTAGCACCGTGTGTCACACCCAGTGCCCATACATGGTAAAAGGCACTCCTTCTCTAGGAGCATCCACATATACAGGAGAGAGAAATGCGGAGAGAGGGAGGTGAAATGCACTGCTACCAGGCTGCCCCATTCTGTCCTCACCCCTAATGATAACAGGGGTCTCAAAGCTGATTCCTGAGAGGAGGACAATTTGGGGATGGAGTCAGAGCGGTGGGTGGTGCAATTCTGCTTGCTTGCAGGAGGGTCATGTACAAAGTCCTGCTCTTCTGAACAGAGGAGCCCAGCACAGAGAGGGGAGGTGAACAGCAGTGGGAGGCAGCAATAAAAAAAGCCAACAGGATGCTGGGAATGACTAAGAAAGGAATTGAGAACAAAGGAGAAAACGCTGTTCTGCCCCTGTACGTTGAATACTGCGTGCCATTGTGGTCCCCCCCTCCACCAGGGTACAGTAGGGATAGAAAAGGCACCAAGATGACAGCAAGGATGATCATGGAGGGTGAACACATAGGCTCGAGTTCACGTGCAACATCAAAGGGTGCCGTTCCAGCAACCATCGCACGTGTGACAAACCGTCCTTCTGGGCTGGGAGTGGGGAGGAGCTCAATGGAAAAACGTTACCTGGTGGCTTTTGGGCCAGGTCTGAAGGCCAAAAACAACAGAGGAGGAAGATCCCTCGGGGCCACGTCATTGCTGCCAGGTGGGGCTGGAGGGAAACACAACAGGAACATGACTGGATTGGGAGGCAAAGAAGCCACAAAACCCGTGTAACGGTTTCACTTGGCTTCACTGAGCCAGGCCCAGGAATCAGAATTTCCTGTTCGGTTTCATGATTTGTGTCTCGATCACAGTGGTCAAAACCTTATGAATGCCAGCATCTTGCTGGCACGCACCTTCCCTGCTGTAACTACAACCAACAGACAGGGAGTGCCCACAAATCCTGGGAGCTACATACAGGCCAGCTCCTGGGGAAACAGCTGGACCAGGAATAGTGGGTGAGATCCCAGGTCTGTGGGAAAGTAGGAAATAAGAAAAGCCACTTGGTTTGCATCCCAGGACCCGTGTACGGGACCCTGCTGCCTGCCGATTGTACTGGAGCTGAACAGATGTGACGCGTGCAGGGTCTCCCCCCTGTGCACCCCTTGTCAAGAGCAAAAATGCAACAGAAATGCCCACAGCCAAGGCTAAACAGATCAAGGTACTTCTCCAGTGCCTGCGCTGCCCAGGCAGGCTTCTGAGCTGAGGAAGGGCTGTCTGCAGCTCTCGTACAAGAACAGGTTACAGGAAAGAGCCTGAATTTCATACAGACCGTTCCCCATTGTGTTGCATAGTCAGGACGTCGGGGAATGCTGAGCAATAAGAGCTTGATCCAAATCCTGCTGCAGTCCAGGGGATCCCCCACTGATTTCAGCAGCTTGTGGACCAGCCCTCCTCAGAGCAACAACATTACACTGATGTGTGGCCGGGGTGTGTGGGTGCTGTGCACACACAAAACCACTCCTTGTTTGACCCTCCTTTGATTCGGATTCCAGAATCCACGTCTGCTGCAAGCCTGAATCCTCCTCCAAAAACAGAGATGCTGAAACCCTCTGGGGCTGAGAGCTGACGTGGAAACGTTATAGCAGTCTCATTAGGAAGCTCATTGTTTCCTTCTTTCTTTTTTAGCAAAAATCATCATAATCGGGAAACCCATTTTTTCAGTGAGGACTCTGGGTTGTGCTCATTCGGAGCCTGACTCTCTGTTTAACAACCCCCGCAAAAGCCAAGAAGACTGAAAAGAGTAATGCATATTGCAGAAAAACATAAAACAAAAATCAAGAAAAAACAAAGCAGACTCGGCAAAACTGACCGAGTTCTGCTTGTGAAATAATCATATTTTTATGGTATTTTTATTCCTAGCGGCTTTAATACATATGGAGCCAATGCCCTCAGTAAAGCACGTGGTACTCATTCATGCACATGCTGAATCCACAGTTTCTTTTGCACCCATGCTTCAGTGACCCCCTTTTGGTGCAGCTCTTTGGCATTCAAGCAGGTCTTCTGCTTCTTCCATAACCGCTGTGTGCACCCCGTGAGTGGAGGCAACCGCTTTGCATAATGCATACGTTTTTCCACGCTCAGGAGCGGGCTGGCTTCTCTTTCAGGGCTTCGATGTCCAAACGAGTCGCTGAAGGTGCTGCGATGTTGCTTTCATTTCTGACCGAGAGCAAACAAGCTTCCAATGTTAAGTTAACATCTACGAGCCCACCCCTTCCTCCCTGGTCATCTTTTATTTTTTATTTGGATTTACTTTCCTTTTTCTCTACACCGGTTTCGTTTCTCTCCCAAAGTTGTTTTTGATTTTTCCAAGAAGTGGTTTTTCCTACATTTCCCTACAGTCACAAACTCCATTGTTTAAGGAAGCTCCTAGCAACTTATGAACCCTGAGTGGAGATGGTCTTCCAGATAAGAAGTCAGGGCAGGGTTTCCTGCACTGGGCTGCAGCTGCCTTGGTCCTGATGGTTTTTCCACACAGCACGGAAGCTGGGTGGGCCGGAGCCAGGAGCACTGCTCCAGTGTGCAGAGTGGGGGCATGGGGCAGAGCCCCCCGACCTGGATATTGCTCAGCGCAGGCCCTCAAAGGGGAGGCTCCAGGGCCCATGCCCTTGTGCAAGTGGGAGTTCATTCACTCTCTACAGACAGCCCAGGCACCCTTAGGGCTGTGCAACATTTCACCGAGTGTTTCGTTTAGAAGTTGTTTTGAGCTCAAAACAGTGAAATCAAAATGAAAGAAAAGCCTTTGAAACAGCTTCGAAAGGAAATGAGGGCACTCAAAACCTTTTGAAAGTTTAGAAATGTTTCAAGTTTTTGTGCCGGGCTTGGCTTCAGCGCTGGTCCCAGCCGGCAGCAGCAGCTTCCTGTCATCCTGTGCAGATCCAGGGGCCCAGCTTCGAAAGGAAATGAGGGCACTCAAAACCTTTTGAAAGTTTAGAAATGTTTCAAGTTTTTGTGCCGGGCTTGGCTTCAGCGCTGGTCCCAGCCGGCAGCAGCAGCTTCCTGTCATCCTGTGCAGATCCAGGGGCCGTGGCCCCCAGGAGGATTCTGGCACAGCCCCCAGCCTGGGACGGTGCTAAGTGTAATGTAGCCCACACCCAGCTCCCAGAAGGTTGTTACTGCTGCCCGTCCCAGGCGGCAGGAGCAGCCTCCTGTGATCTGGCAGGCAGGTTGGGGGCCCACCCACACCCCTGGGAGGGCTGTAGGTCTCTGCCGCACTCCTCCCGCGGGTGTGGGCCCCCGATCTGCCTGCCGGATCACAGGAGGATCCTCCTGCTCCCTGGCTGCTGCTTATCAACACCTTGAGGTGCAGTTTCCCAGAGTCGCCTGCACCTATCTCCTTGAAATTTGGCAAGATTCATGCACTCAGAAGGGGCTAGCAAGCCTGCAGGTTTCAACTGCATCAGGGAAGCAGTGACAACGTTCTAGGCAGTTTTGTGCTTCCCCTTTCTAGCCTATGGGTGCAACATCAAAACAGCGTTGAAACGGCAAAACGGATTCGACAAAAAGAAACAGAACAGGGCTTTTGAAATGAAATGAAACTCAAAATGAAACACTGTTCCATCAAAATGGAAGTCGAAGCGGAACGGTGCTGTTTTGCACAGCGCTAGGAGATCAAGCGAAAGGAAACCTGGGGTGGGACAGCAACTTTCCCAGCTGGAGGGGGGCCAGATCCTGGGCCTGCTCAAAGGAAAGTCCTCTGGGGGTCCAGGGCCCATGTCCCTCTTGCAGACTGGACCACGGCATGTCCTGCCCATTCCCTTCTCTCTGCCCCAGCAGATATCTCTCCCAAACCATGGGGACGCCAACTCTGACAGCAGCTTCCCCACAGTCCTTGCCTTGCGGGGTATCGCAGCCCCCAAGAGAGGATGTGGGCCCTCAGAGGAATGGAAACCAAGAGGCAGGGATCAAAGGGATGAAAACTTCTCAGACCTTTTTGAATTCACCGGATTTGCACAACCAGCCTGACTAGCTCCATCCTCTTTGCACCCCCCTGCAGGGAGGTGAAGGCTGCTATTTAATCCCCCTCAGTCTTCTCTTCTGCAGACTCAACCAGCCCAGTTCCCTCAGCCTCACCTCACAAGGCATGTCCCCCAGCCTCCAAACCATTTTTCTTGCTCTCCACTGCCCTCTTTCCACGTTAGCCACATCCTTTCTGTAGTGGGGGCCCAAAACTGGACACAGGACTCCAGATGTGGCCTCCCCAGTGCTGAATAGAGGCCTCCCCTTTCCTATGCCCTGCTCCCCAGCCCTCCCCTGCATCTCAGCCCATGTCCTGGCAGCCTCAATTCCCATCCCCTTAACTAGCCAGCAGTTGCCATTCCCCCATGGGCAGGGCTGCAGTCCAAAGGGGAGGGTGGTGGGAAGTGGCAGCTTCACTGGCCAGTGCAGATGCAGTTGGGACCTGGCAGCCGTCTCGCTGGCTTCAGCCCTGGGTGATGATGGCTGCTTTGAATAAGGAAAAACTGACCCCTTGCCAGTCTGCGTGTCCTGTTATCCTGAGGCAGGTTACCAACAAAACACCCATATCCTGAGCAATGCAGAAAAATCGCCCAAGCTGGCAAACATGTGGCATCGAGTCCCTGTTACGGGGTAGTGGTGTTGACTCAGAACTGGGCCCTGAGGCTGCCTTGGTCCCTCGTCCAGGGGTCGTGCCATGCCTCCCCAACCCCTGTTTGTCACAGTGACATGGATCCAGCACGGCTGGCTACAAGCTCATGCTCATGGACTGAAGCAACAGCCCCATCTCTTCCTCCTTGAAGCCACTACATGTGCATGTCTATCCATTCCCTGTAGTGAGGCCATTCTGCTCTGGATCACTGATGTTTTTCTAGTACTGTAGTCTGTTATAAGGAGGACCCCCATGCTAAAAGGAAGGATAAGGTTCAAAGCCAAGTGCTCAGAAGGAACTCAAGCCTTAATGCAGCCTGCTTGCACCCAGGCTTCATGAAACACCTGGTACTTAGATGCTCACATGCCATTTTTTTTTCCACAGGACCCTGGGCTCATTCACGCATAAGATTTCATAGATTTCATAGATATTAGGGCTGGAAGGGACCTTGGAAGATCATCGAGTCCAGCCCCCTGCCCAAAGGGCAGGAAGTCAGCTGGGGTCATAGGATCCCAGCAAGATAAGCATCCAATTTACTCTTGAAGGTGTTCAATGTGGGTGCTTGAACCACCTCCGGTGGCAGGCTGTTCCAGACCTTGGGGGCTCGGACAGTAAAGAAATTCTTCCTTATGTCCAGCCTGAAACGGTCTTGTAGTAGTTTATGACCGTTCGACCTAGTCGTCATCCCTTGGGCACTCTGGTGAACAAATGTTTCCCCAGATACTGGTGGTCACCTCTGATAAACTTGTAGGTGGCCATCAGATCACCCCTGAGCCTGCGCTTTTCCAGGCTAAAGAGCCCCATGACTCTCAGCCTGTCATCGTAGGGTGTGTTTCCCTGACCTCTGATCATGCGTGTGTCTCTTCTCTGGACTCTCTCAAGCTTCTCCACATCCTTTTTGAATTGTGGAGCCCAAAACTGGACGCAGTACTCCATCTGCGGCCTCACTAAGGCCGAGTACAGGGGGAGAATGACGTCCCGGGATTTGCTTGAGAAGCATCTATGGATGCAAGCCAGCGTTTTGGTCGCTTTACTAACCGCAGCGTCGCACTGCAGGCTCATGTTCAGGAGCTGGGGCCGGATGGGGCAGCCATGCAGGGGCTGGGGCAGTTGGCGGGGGTCTGGGGGTGCTTGGGGGAGCTGAGGGAGCAGGCAGGGATGGGGCCTGGTGGGGGGCCCCCCATGGTCCCTTCCCCCCCCCTCCCGCCTCC